ACTGAATCCCAGTAGCTACCTGTGTCACACGCCCCATGCACATCTCTGTGTCTGGGCATGTGACCTCATGTAGTCCCACCATAGTGTGTTCTAAAATTAATTTAGTTAAATAATCATATTATTTATTTCGAGTAATATTAAATCTCAAAAATTCGTCTTGTCTTGTAAATATTATAGCGATAACACAGGGACTCATGGACCTATAATTCTGACATCTGATAAAATTAATAATTAATTAAGCTCTTTAACTAATTAATTAATTAATTATATTAATTCCAAAAGTTTCTCTACTAAAAACTTAGAATTGCATTCTCGAAATTATAAACATTTATTTACTTCTAAGAACTTGAAGTGTTCATTTGATATAGTCACTACATATAGATTGATCCTCCATAAATAATTCATAATCAGAGCTAAGTAACATCCATTAACCTCTCTAATTACATCTTTATCCTTGAGTACTATTGATTCTCTAATGAATAATATATTCATAAAACTCATTCATGAATACAGGCTCGTTTCTTATTCAAGTACCGAATCAACCCTTAAGAGAATTATTTTTCTACTTCTTTAAAGAAAAATGAATGAATTTCATCTCGTATATTAGCATTTTCGGTTATCCATTCCAAGATATAATGAATAAGATTTAAGATCTCAAAATCCGTACCGAGTAAATAAAAAAATATGAATCCATAAATAAGAGTCTACTTATAACTTAAGATTAAGATCATTTTCTATACTTAAAAGAAATTATCAGAAAATCAAATTGTGTTTGTGTCCTAGTTCTACATAATCTCATTATTCATAATATACTCATTCAATATCCCTCTATATTAATGATACAGATAACATTATTTCATTCTTAATGGGAATGACATGTATCAATAATGTTTTGGTTAAAAATTTCGTAACTTTAATTAAATTCATTACGACATTATTTCGATTTTATCCTTAATATTATTCTCTTGTATATAACACTTATATACAATATTTAAGATCACATAAATAATCGTAAAATTTTCAATGATATTTATAAAATATTCAATAATATATGTACATAAATAATAAATAAATTATTTTATTAATTAAATAATTAAACATCCTTATTACAAATCATACTTTGGAGACACTATTCATAACAAAAATTATGCCCTTTTGAATCAAAGCTAGTCAAAGATCCAAAGGTATGGTTTACAGAAATTACCTCCGATGGTCAAAAAGGTGATTTATAAGATTACCTCTGATAAGTTACTATATGTTGCTAAAAGACAATCTTCATACATCGGAGTTGATCACCGATCAACAATCGCAAGAGAAATTTGGTAAATTATTTTTCATAATCTGTCAAATGATTGACCGTATCTAATTACTGGCATCGGTTATTGGAGAGGAATTTAGTATATTACTTTTCATAATTCACTAAATTATGTTTTCTTTTTATTTTCAACTAGAAAAATATTGGAACTCTCAGGTCAATGGCGGAAGGGGTACAATCTTCGTGGTTGTTGAGGATCTTTCAATAGTGATCTTCGCAGTTGCAATGGCGTAGAGTGATCTGTGTAGGTTTGCACAAGAGGAGAGAGAATGAGGGCCAACATGAGGAAAGAGCACAAGCGACCCAGGCGTAAAGAAAGCGGCGTGCAGGGGAGAAAGACGCGTAAAATGGGTGGAGAGAGAGATTACTGGGACAGGGATGAGAGAGAAGGATAGATGAGATAGATAGGGAGAGGTTATCGAAAAAGAGTTAAAAGTCCCGTTTAATTCGTTGATTCGAGTTTTTAATTCGAGTTGAGATGTGATTTGGAAAGAGAGAGCTAAAGTTTGTTGTTTCATGACGTTATTAATTGTGTTTAGTTCAAGGATTCGTGTTATGGTTTGAATCATAATTTATAGCTCGTTATAATATTTTTTTTCACAAAAAATACACGTAAATCAAAAATAATTTTAAATCATAATTCTAAATCCATCAACCAAACGTCCTCTCTGATCATTTTAAAAGCTGGTCAACATAAGTTAATTAAGAGTAAATGATAACAACTCATAACAACACACCCAAAGATAAGTCAAACAATTTTCTTTAAAATTAATTATTGTTTTTTAGATGTTTTTAACATGTGTAAAACCATAGTACACACACATTTATGTGTGTGTTTTGAATTCTAAATACACAAAACACATGTGATTCATTGGCAAAGCACATGTGTATATCTAATGGATATAGTCCGGTTCAACTGAATCGTGATCATTTTTGAAGAAAAAAGTATATGATTTGTCATGATTTTGTGCATACATGTTTTTAATATCATTCAAAATAATTGATTGTTACTGTGTTTTTTTTATTTAATTAATTAAATGATAATTATTTATTTTTAAATGAAGTGATATAAATAATATTTTTTTATCATTTTAAGTCGTATTTATGATCCTTTTTTAAATTTTTGAACCACTAATAATTTTGGCCTAACACCGAATTGACAACTCAAAAAGTGAAGATCAAGGCTAGTGCAACAATTTTTCAGTCTCGTTCGCTTCGCGAATTTAAATTTTCAATTCGAGCTGAGATGTGATATTTTTTAAAAGTTTTTAACTATAGTAAAAAAAGTTATATGTGACATTTTTTGAGAGTTTTTAACTCTAAAAATCTAGAATTAAAAACTCAAATCGGTAAAATGAACAAGTCCTTCGTCTATTCTGAACAATGCTAAGATATGTACGTGCATGTTTTACCAAAAAAAAAAAAGAAAAAGAAAGAAAGAAGCTCTATATTCTTTACTCTTTACTATTCATCTGGATATTACTACTCACTGCACATTTCAGGCTCTCTATAAAATTTAAAAAAAAATGAAATAATTATTATTTTCGTAAAAAAATCAACTTATGGAGAGATGAGGCATCATTAATTTTCTCTCTCTCTTTTTTATTTTTTACAATTCACCATGAATAAGCTATTGTTAAGAACACCAATTCAAATTCTAATTTTTATGTATTAATAAGTGTTTAAAATATTATCACATAAATTAATAATAAAAAATTATATCTACTAATAAAAAAATAATAATTCGCATATTATATGAGTTTATAAATAAGAATTAGTATTTAAGTTGGTCTCTACCATTACCCATTTGCCATTATCAATATTGTCCTCTTTGTCATCCACGTACTTTAGTTCAAACATTAGGCTAGTCCGGTGCTATCCACTTCATCCCCAACAGGGGTCAAGTTGTCTCAGACTGACCGTGGTAGCTCCTTTTAAAACTTTGCCCAACCCCCTAATTTTTTTAGTCTTACTTATCCATAGTGTTTTTTTTTTGTTTTTTGTTTTTTGTTTTTATAGAAAATTTCACTTCTACTTTGAGTTTTGATTTTTTTTAGTTTATTCTTATCTCAAACTTATGTATCACATTGACCAAAAATCAACTATACTACCATATAAAGTAGCAAGTTTTTAGACTCTATATTTTTAAGGTTAATCCCATAAATAATTCTCAAAATTACTCTCAATTCCATTTTGATTATTGATTTTTAAAATATTTCACAGTTAATCGCAAATCTATTATTTCGGTTTCGATCATTCCAATAATTAAGTAGTACTATTTGAAGGAATATGTGAAAATTAAGAACCAAATTTAGAATCATTTAAAATTTAAAGACTAAAATAATACAAAAAATAAAACTAAATTTTATATGTTTCTTATTTAGTCCTTTATTTATATAAGATTTCGTCAAATATTTAACACCTGATTAATGGAAGGATTAAATTAGCGGCCAATTGTGAGACATTTTAAAAGGGAACCAAATTAACTTTAGGAACCATTTGTGTGATTAACTCAAACTTTAAGGCTCCGTTTGGTAAGAGG